TTCAACGAGGTGATAGTCACTCAATGCAGATGTGTTTTTATTTACCAACCATGCTGTCCAAAATAATTACTATGGTCTGTCATACTCCATCGCCTTCATATTAGTCATTACATTCTGGGAGTCGAATGAAAACTCTAAACGAGTTATAGACTCTTTTATTGCTCTGAATTCTTCGATTCGAGCTAGATATGTTTTCAGTTCGGGAACGGCTTCGTCTACGGTGCAGACCGATCTCTCACTGGTGAACATCGACGAGGAGCTTGCCGCCTACCTCCAAAAGCTCAACGACGGAAGGCCGATCAGTCCAGAGGTAAGTGTGATTGTGAAAAATGCTAACGCTTTAGAGGAAGACAAGAGACGAGCAGAGAGAGGTTTTCAATGGTGATTTGGACTTGCAAGGTAGACGTTAATTGAGATAATACTAAATGATAGCGTACTTAAGGGTAAATTATGTAGGTTGAGAAAATAGGGAGAGATTGGCGAGGTGATGTGAAGAGAAGAAAGCGAAGTAGCGTTCAAGTGGACTGCGAAATTGAAATAAGGAAGGTGTAAAAAAGAAGTGGTAAAGTTGTGTCGATAAATTGATTTTCTGTGGAATGAAGAAGTTTTTACGCTGCTCCCTCGGTACAGAGATCTGTTTCGAAAGCGTAATGTCTCCATCGGATCTGTGACTTCCTTAAAATCGCTGCGACTGATTGCCAGAAAAATATAAAAAACTAATAAATAAATAATTACAAAAATAAATAATTACAAATTAATAAAATAAAATAATTACAAAATTTAAATTCCCTCTCCATCAACATTCAATTCTTGGACATCGTAAATCCTTCAAGTCCACTGGATTTTCTTCTCATTTACTCTTTGAAAATCGGGCAAGTCCTATATGAGCAGAGCTGATTTTTAGGCTCAAAAAAGACGTCTCTAGAACTAATCTGCTCGAGGGAGCTTATGTAATGAATAAATAAGTAAGTGGCCAAACGAATAGAACTATTTCTTAAGAGCAGTTTCCATGTTCGACTATCCAGAAATCTTGGCATTACGTGTACTGCTTGGATTGCTTTTGTGGCCGTTACCAAGATGATAATCACCTTTTTTGGCTAACGTTTTCGGCCGTGTCGCCTTCGTCAGAGCCTGGAAAAGCAAGTCAAAGATAAATGCGATCTAACCTCCAAACGCAATTTCAAACTTCAGAGCCATTCTGTTATAGATAATTTCGCTATCACAGGGAAGGATCCAGGTCGAAGTGGCCATTTGTAACGAGACATACACCACTAGATGTGTTTTTGGACGCTGATCTCGAATCTGCTCTCCAAATCTGCGGAACGATTCCCTGAACGTAGTTATGAAGCGAGATAGTGCAGTGGCAGCGGCCCAGGCCGACGGAAAAGAGGTCGTGGGATCGAATTCTTGGCGATATCTCACATTTGCTTTCCTTGAGACATTGCTAAAGATGCTTTTATCCATATAAATTATTAGCGATTGCCTATATTACAAGTGGGAATAGCTAGCGAGGAGCATCTAACACTGTGCGCGCCATTCGCAAAAGATCGCCCCTTGTACTCGTAGCGCACGCGTCAGGCGCATTCGTGCCAAACAGAGGTGATATTCGTATTCAGCGCGTCAAAATGCCCCTTTCCACAACTTTTGGTCCAAATCTGAAATTTGTACCTAACTTTGCAAATGTGGGCAGTCACCGTTGGTCATTTGCACATGGCACGCACACTTGATCGAAACTCCTCGCTATCTCCTCGCACTAGTAATAAAGGCGAGTGCTGATGACTTAGCATAGATGAGGATTTCCTTAACAATGTCCTCAGGAAAAGCAAAAGTCAAAACTCGCCGAAAATTCGATCCCACGACGTCTTTCCCGTTGGCCCGGGCCGCTGCCACTGCACTATCTCGCTTCATAACTACGTTCGGAGAATCGTTCCGCAGATTTGGAGAGCAGATTCGAAGATCAGCGTCCAAAAACACATCTAGTGGTGTATGTCTCGTTACAAATGGCCACTTCGACCTGGGATCCTTCCCTTGTGAGGGAGCGGGCAAGAACACAATTAACACCATTAGACTCACTCTTAAGCAACTACGGCGGTTACTGGTTGAGACTACAGGTTCATTCAGGCTCTGGGTGAAGGTGAGCACGGCCAAACTCAGCCTAAAGTGATCGCTATCACCATCTTTTTATAAGAGTTTTTTTCCTCGGCTTTCTGACATAACGCTGGAAGTGGCGGAACGGTTCGAATATGTTGAAATTTTTCAATAATGTTTTGAAAGTTGGTCAAAGTCACTGAATTCATGATGATGATCTTCGTAAGCACAGCGCGAACGACCAGCATTCAAAGTGCTGTGGTCAGAATTTTTACCAGAATGTTCAAAATTGCTTCACAGAGCATTTTTGAGTTAGGATATCTCTTGTTTTTCTCAGGTTCAATTTACTGGCCTCTCCCCAATTCCCATTTGTGCTACCGTAGCTCATACAGCGATTACCGTCAGATAAGCGGAATGAAGTCATAAAAAGTTGGTATCGGAGAAAGCACGAGAACGAAACAATTACCGTGGTAAGACCGATAAGCACTGCTGTCTTCTTCTTACAGCCATAGTTTTCCAAGTGCTCCGGATTTGCTCCTCTCCGAAGTCTCGTCCGGGTAGTACATGTTCCAATTTGCAGTTAGTACGACTTCTGTGTTCCGTCTCTTCTTCTGAACAGCTGACTGAACAAAGAGGAAAGCCTCTTCTTCGCTCCGCTGCTGAATTGTGTGGAAGTGCGTTGATTACGAAGCATTCATGACATCGATGGCGAGCACAAACAAACAAAATGCTTAGCAGCGGTGAATGGAATTGAGGACGAACCCATTGCGCACTTCCCTTCCCTCCGCTTCCGTCGACTGACCTCATCATGCAGAGACATCTCTCGGTCCTCTCTTGGAACTCGGCGAACCGCAAGTTCATGCTCAATCTTTATGACACCATCTTCTTTTCTAGCACCTAATTCATTGTCCTCTTAAACCGACAATGTGATGAAACGACAACTAGATTATATCAATTTTCTGTGAAAATACATCCATTTTATTGAACGGTTTTGGATGGAATAGGAATCTGCTTTATTAATGACTTCATAGAGCTGTACTTCTGCAGTTTCTCGATGTGCAGTTTTATATTTCTAGGATTGCAAAATTATTCTGGATAAGCTGGATAAGCAAAAAATAAATAAGCGTTCATCGGTGCGCCACGCACTAGACCCACCCCCTGGATTCTTGCTGAATCGGGTGCACGGCGCAACCACATTATTTCGAAACATTATCACTACCCTTAAAATTTCGGTCAGCATAGGTTTCACAAAACCGATAGCGACAAGAGTCCGTAATAAGAACTTATCCGAAAGAAAATAAGCGCTTATTTCGGCGCTATTACAAGATACGAGGGCATCCTCTAGGAACAAGCTCAGGAGGGGGCAGTAACACCAGGCAATCCGGACTCCCTTCTTACCACCTCAGGTTCATTCCCGATAAAAAGGTGACGTTTTATGCGGTTTGAAATTCATTACTACCACAACCCGTATTCTGCGATAGGGCCCTATGTTACACTAATTGCCGATGATGATCCAGAATTCTGGACGTCTAGTCAACAGTCCCTTTAAACAAGCCCCTTCTCCAAGAAACACATTCGTAAAACATAAAAGCGACTATAGATTATAAATTCACAAATATAGGGCGGTATACCGTAACGCTCTCGACGTTGGGGTGTTGGCACTGGGCGCAATGTCACGTGTCATCGATTTTCCATGTGTGCTCGCCTCCCACTTCTCGTTTTCTCTGCGCTCTCTCAACGAGGAGAAATGCGTCGAGCAAACTCGCCAACTATGCTAAGCGTCGTCAATATAGAAGGTAGGGAATCTCACGAGTCTTTCGGCCTTGCGTAGGATGAAAGCGGAATATTCCGTAGGATTCCGTCAACTTTC